TAGGCCATGTTCTGCTGTACCTCTCCTCCTCTTCAGGTAAAAAACAAAAAAGACAAAACTCAAATGAATGAAACAACGTTTAGACTAATTACAGGACACAGTTAAAGAAAAGGTTCAAATAGAGACCTGCAATCCATCACTGCAGTAACACCTAACCAATGACAGAACTGGGGGTTTAATTCACCCTCATTAATTACAGAGCACAAGTAGCGATAGTCGCTACAGCCAACCTACAACTATAGATTTTCCCATTCCCAAAGATGCCTGTGTTAACAAGAGATTTTCTTCCTCGTGACAGATAATTTATTTTGTGAATGACTTAGAGCAGCATGTGTCTGAATCCGATTCAATCACACATCTAACCAAACAGAATATAGAATACTAAGGCTGCAGTTATCTACAGGATACCAGGTTGGACAGTCCCCTTGTATACAAGGCAGCTGCACCAAATTTCACACACTCTTGAGTATCAGTTCTGCAAAAATGCCTGATTATTTTTTCTTCTTTTCATCAAAATCAACAAATTATTCCCTGCGGGGGAATTTTTGATAAATCTTGCAATGTTCAAGAAAACAATCCTGGATCCGCACCCTCTTCCAGATCCTTACAAAAATGTCATTGTCTCTTCCGTGGCACACAGTGCATCCTTCCACCAAGTTAGGCAGTAATCTGTCCGGTTGTTTTAGTGTAATCTTGCTTAAAAACAAACACACAAACCAACCAGCAAACAAGCAGACAAGGGTGAAAACGTAACCTCCTTGGGGGAGGTAAAAAGTTGAAATGCTGCCACTTACCCAGAAGCTATTTCACCGACCTACAAACCTTTCTACAACCCACTGTAAGATGTCAAGTTATGATATATGAGGAATATGACACTCTTGAAATCCTGGCCATGTTTACACTGACCAACTGGGGAGTTAAGGTGTGACATGTGGAAGTGCAGTGCCATCACATTCACTCCCATAATGACCATCAAGGGAACAAGGAGGAGGGCTGATATTTCTGAATTTTTGGAATCAGAAATGTTGATTTTCAATTACATCACTAGGAGTTTATGCATCATATTATGGAAAGACTTTGAAAGTAGAAATGGAGTTATATATCCTTTTGGCAGCTCTTGATTCAGACCTTTTGCATACACACGTCTAATGTTTGCATATACAGTTTCTGAACTGCCTGTCAGTCTTTGTGTCATCAAATACATAAAAATAGATTTTACAGGCCATAGTCAGTGTCTCAGCAAACACCAGTGGCTCTCAGACATGTCAGCTGCACTTCATCACCAGTCAAAATAACCATCATAGGACCCCTGAGACAGGGTTAGTACTCAACTGATTTTCATTAATCATTAACGGCTGTATATGAAACTGCTTCTGACAACTGTCGTGAGTCATGCCTTTGTTTGAGCAGCAAATTCACTGTTATTTGTGGCTTGTTTCCTGGTTATTTCATTATAAATGCAGTCTCCTCCCATATCCTCACATAGAGTTTATACTGCTTAAGTTTACATTTATTTATTTTTTCAAAAACGGTGACACATTATTGTGTATAGCATCAATAGCATCTTTCTCTTGCCAACTTACTCCCCTCTTTTTGACGGACACACTAAATGTTGTATTTATGTCCAATAAATTACAGAACTTATCACAAAGTCATAATTTACATTTTATGGCACAGATTTAGTCAAAGAGGTGCAATATCAGACAGATTAATCATGCTTCGAAATGGAGAGTTCAAAGATTTCCTCTTCCAGTCCTTCGAGAAATACAGGTGAGAAAACTGGCATCCAGCAAGTACCACAAAACTTTAAATGTTAGTCACGCAGAAAGTCATCTCCCTGCAAGGCTGAGGTGGATGTTTGAGCCCTGACTTGTCCCGTCTTCTTGAAAACTAGGGGCCTGGCCAAAATCTGACACAATAGTTCTCAGGAGTGGCCTGGTAGCACTCACTATCACAGCTAATGACACTGATCTTTCACTCTGCAAACTATGCCTTAAAATAGCTTATGGATTAACAACAATCAGGAGACAGATGCCATAGAGCTGACTTGGCTCACGGGATGACTCTTGGGCCAAACATAAACACAACCAATTATGCCTGCAGGGCTTTTTCTTACTAGACAGGTGAGTCTTCAGTACAGAAACTAAGAACTAGTTCATTTGTGTTTGACACTGACTTAAGACAGAATATTTTGTGTGAAGAGTTTCTTCTGGAACAAGTGAATACAATACAGTGAGGAACGTGAGAGACTTCTGTACAGATATAGAGCTTCTGATTAATAATGGGGGTGCGGATGTCTCAATCAAAGTAGGGCAAAACTAATTAGGCTGTTGCACCAGCATAAACGATGGAAAAGGGACAGGGGGGAAGAGGCCTAGGGGGAGCGTCTGTAATGAGGTCACAACCTCCCAGTCCTCATCCTCGCAGTGTTCCATTTTACATATTCAGGTTCCCTGTAAATGTGCATGTCTGCAAAACGTGTGGCTTTATCTCCTCAGTACAGAGCACTGGTGCATAAACTGTGGCAGTTACCAAGGCAGTGTGGTGCACGGAGGGATTTTTAAACAGGATTAGTTTCGATTCTAGACGGTGCTGTCAACATTGCATCCAAGATTACTGCTTTAGCTGTAGAACCTTGATTTGTTTTTAACAGCCCCCTTCTTTAAAAATGACCAGTCATAGCAGCTAATATGTAATTACCGTGAATGTCAGCTAAGCCTCATAGAAATATAACACATCTGTTTACATCCAACACTTGACTCCTTTGCACCATATTTTTTTTAAATAAACGATCATGTCACTGAGGAGGCAGCATCTGGTTTCCTCTCTATGGGAGGTGTGCCACAGTGTGAACAATCAAACATCTCACTACAATACACCTCAGCACAATAACATTTGTGTAAATTTGTTTATAGGCTACAGAATAAATAATACTCTCACGCAATCTTCCTTTGAACCAAAAGCATAAAATGTACTTTAATCCTACCGCATTCCCTGATTTTACCTGATTCTACTTTTTATTATTGGAATGGAAGCTCATGCCTACATTTCTGTTACATGTTAAGTGTAGTCATTCTTTTATAACTATTTGTTTATCTATTCAACTTGTTTTGAGAACTGCTATATACATAGGGACATTATTATTATGATTGTAATTTTGAGTCTGACGTAAAATCTTGGATTCATTTGACTTAATATTCATGTTGCTGTTGANCATAGGGACATTATTATTATGATTGTAATTTTGAGTCTGACGTAAAATCTTGGATTCATTTGACTTAATATTCATGTTGCTGTTGATTTAGTATTTGTTTGTTCCCAGTAGGTGAGAGAAGTAAACAGCCTACACACTGCATAACTTTATATCTGCCCAGTAAAACTCAGTGAAGTGTCACACAGTAAATAAGAAAAAAGAACTACAACTAAATTCATATTAGCTGTAGGTGCGCTTCACTTCCCCCTGAATACAACACGTCCATAAAAGAGGATATGTAAAAAAACAACTCTTTGTTTCGCTCCAAAGAAAACTGTCCGAAAATGGAATCGCGTCCGTGAACGCACCGTTTTGCAAACACAAGCGAGCGGCAACGGAGCGAAAACCCACCGTTTTTTATCCCTCCTCCATTTAATCCACACACGCAGAACTTCAAGCGTCACACACTTCTTCCCACAAACAACTGACAATACTATCATCGAAAGGAGGAAGATGAGGGACTCACCCAAAGCTCCGTGCCCCAGTCCATGTTCAGCCTGTTGGCCGAGCTGCGAGTCCGAGGATACAAAGAAGTTCTCCGAAGTTTATCCCCGCAGCTCAGAGGAGGAGGAGGAGCAGGAGGAAGAGGAGGCCCTGGCACCAATAATCCCAACGTGATAAATCAGTCGTAACCTCAACACATCCCGGTCCTGCTTCATTCAACGACTAACGTGCATCAGCATCATAATGAGCTAATTAATTATGGCTGACGGTCGCTGCTCTAGTTGTGTTCAAGTGCTTCTCTCAGCGCAGCAGAGAAGGATAAACTCCCACATCCGCGTCACTCCCAAATCCTAAATCTTAAAGGGCCAGTGCGCGGAACCCACAGGAGACAAGGCCACAGATCAGTGACACATGATGCTCTCTGTCCTTACGCGTAAAGTTGTGTTGTTTTTGTTATAACACCACCCTGCTGAGGCCCGTCATCAAGCCCTGCTGCCCTGACGGAGCTGACTGATGCTGCTGAGTTTCCCATGTCACCTCTGACTCCCAGATAAAGTGATAGTTCACACAAAAAATTTAATTCACTCATTATCCTCCCCACTACGCAGATAGAGCGGTTGGTGAGGTGTTTCAGTCCACAGAACAGTGTTGCATCCAAATCCGATACAATTGCAGTAAATGCTGATCTATCCTTCAAACAGAAAAAAAAATACAACAGAAAAAAACATAAAATGCTTCCATACTGCTCGCGTGGTGTGATGCAAGTGTCCGTAAACCCCGACATTTAAATTTGACTTGATACAAGATAATTTACACTGAGTTTTTAAACTAAATGTCCTCTGATATCCTCCCCAGTGCGAAGTTCACACGTAAATCACAGCAGATATTAAGGCTAAAAACATGGTGTAAATAATGCAGTTTTGAGTCGAATATGCTAAGGACAAAACACTTGTATCCAAAGACTAACGGCATGAAGAATCCAGGTCCAGGCACTGCTTATGAACACTTGGATGACACCACAGGAGCAGTATGGAGGCATTTTAATCAACTGTATTGTACAAAAAGTCTTTTGTGGTGTCAAACACTTCACCCACTCCTCCATGAGCATAGTGGTGAGTAGATGATGAGTGAATTTTTATTTTGGGGTGAACTATCCCTTTAAGACATGAAGCTCTTCCTCCCCCAGCATTTCATGTGGACTGACTTCTTAAATAATGAAATCAGGGAAACTGTAAAATAATTTCTCAACATGGTCCAAACAAAAATCTGTTTTATTGTTTTCATGAGGATAAGGTTGTAGAATCAGGAATTGAAAATAACCAAGGCTGAATTGTGAAAGCAAAATAAGTGAAACCACAAGATTGGCAAAGGTTTTGCTCTCACTGAAAGGATGATATAAGAGGTTCCAAAGAGAAGCACAACACATTAGAAGACAGTAGCGTAGCTTTACTGAAAAGATAAAAAACCTCACAAAACACTGTCAGTAGCATGATTTGTAAACACCCAAATGCTACATGTGTAGAGGTATAAGCTGATGCAGGAGAGTACCAGCTTTTCACACATGCCATTCTTGCCACCAACCTGATTTCCCACAATATCAAGCAATTAGTAAATATCCTAAGCTTTGTCCCCACCAGACATTGTGGTCAAAGGCATATCTGAAGGTTCCCTGGCTGCAGGAACAAAGCTATACTGTCCATGTTTCCTCTGATGTCTGCAGAGAGTGATGATGACGATGAGGAGGAGGGCTAGGGAGCACAAAATCAGCAACCACCAAATGATTGACAGCCGGCGTCCTCTGTTTAGGACTTCTCTACCTGTAAACAAGAAAATAACGTTATAACTTTTCTTTCTCCGCAAAATCCGCATCAGCAACCACTTCTTGGTCCACATTTCCACATGTGTCGTACACAGAATCAGAATTAATGACCTTTTATCTTCAGTGTGACAAATCTTGACACGCTCCCAACGTTATTCGTGGCAACGCAGATGTAAACACCATCATTGGTAGACGTGGCTCCTGTGATACTGACGTTCTTCTGGCGCCCTCCAGTGGTCTCCCTCACATTCTTGTTGGCGTTGAAGTTCCACTGGATCTCAGGGACAGGTTTTCCCTCAGCGCTGCAGGCCAAAGTCACATTTTCACCCGGGGTCACCTCCTGAGTGTCATTCCCCCGCTTGAACTCAGGGGCAACTGTGGAGCAAAAATAAAATATAGGGGCAGATTTGAGAAGAAGACATCAACACAACATAAAAAGACTATTTTTGCTACGCCAAACATTAAAACTCACACAAAACATTAAGATATAGTAAGTGGTTGGCTGTTCCATATTGGTTGGTTGCTTTGAGTTCGTATTTTCCACTGTCATGCTTTGTCCAGCGTTGCTGGGAAGGTATCACTTTTCCATCTTTATACCAGGTGATGTTGGGTGCAGGTATTCCCTCTGGTTTGCACTCCGTTCTGATGTTCCCATTCTCTTTGACGTCATAGCTACCATTACAGGTAAATGAAGGGCCATCTGTGAATATAGTGTCAGGACAGTTTTCAGAATTAAAGGTTCAGTGTGTAGAATTTAGTGATATCTAGTGGTGAATTTGCACCATTTGCACCACCAATGAAAAAGAACTTGTGGAAGTCTTCCGTATAAAGGCTAAATAAGGCAATAAAAACTCAAAAGGTGTTTAGTTGGTTCAGTTTCGACTACTGTAAAAAACTGTTGGCCTCTGGGAGAGGACCCACTTCTGATGTAAACAGAAAGGATTTAAATATAAAGACCCATTCTAGGATAAAGAAAACAACAATTTGTACAATTTAGATGAAACACACTAGCAAAAACATCAGCAGGATCATTTTATGTTCAATTTCTGCCTTTCACTTTAATCTTGTGCACTTGGCCTTTAAAAATATAAACTTATTGACACTTGGTACGGTACAGTCTGGGGTACTCACATCCAATTGTGACATCAACAGACGTGTTGGTCCAGCCGAGCTCATTAGAAAATGTTGCTGTGTATTTTCCTGAATAAGCCCTGGAGAGAGACTCAGACTGATTGATCAGCATCCCCTTATAGTGCCAGTGAACAATGGGTGGAGGGTTCCCATCAGCTCTACAGGGCATCATTTCCAGGCTGAAGTAATGCTCCAATCCAATGTAATTGGAAGGACAATCTTGCACCATTGGCTTATCTGCATGTAAACATGAGCATAGATTATAATTCATATTCATAGGGAATTAGATTTAAATCTAATATGTGGAAAACTCACAGTGCACAACAGCAGTGTAAGGCTCTGAGAGTATCGTGGGGATAGGTTTTGGTCCATTTGGTCCCAGGTGCAGCTCAGCGAGGCATGTGAAAAGTGTTCCATTGTGATCTCTTGTAGGTGTCACTGTCAAAAAAGAGGACACGTTGACTGCGGTCACACTGATGTTTGTGAACGTCTGAACGCTCACGTTTTCCTTGCCCATGTACCACATCACACTGAGGTTCTGCACAGGAGCCACATTAATGACATCACTTCTCAGCAGGTACTGGACGCCCTCCACCATGGGCCCTTGAGTCACTGCAGAGATCGACACGACGTCTGGAGTCTCTGTGGATAAAGCAAAGGAAAATATGTAGTAAGAACATAGAATGGTGATGATAACCCTGCCATTGCAAACACAATTTTATAATAAGTGTCAATGCCAACATTTTTAGTGCGTGCTATTTAAAACTGCTAAATATTATTGTATTGTCCCTGTATACTTTTCTTTTAAAGTAACATGGCGTCAGTACTGTGAAGAGTTTACGCAAGCAAGACGACATTACTTCACTTAATTATATCAAACATTTTGGATCATGATCCAATCGAGATAAAGAGGAGATTGCGTATAGTATAGACTGTATACTCACTATAGACCGTGATGGTTGGCTCTGCAGAACACTGCTGATTTCTCCGAGTAATGTAGCATTTAGGTTTTATGGACCAGTCTTGAAGTTTCTCAACGGTCCAGATGACAAATGGAGCATTTTTAAACCCCGTGCCTCCAACATGAGCCTCCCAACCCATTCCTGAAAAATCTGTGGCTGATGTGCTGCAGTTAACTGAAGCTCGATCGCCAAACCTCACCACAACTTCAGCAGGCATCAGCGTCACCGGGCAATCTGCCATTCAGAAGTAAATCATATTCCATCACCTTTTGATAGATAGGGAGCTATCAAAAGTATCTAAGGATTGATAAACAAAGATATATAATGATACATATTTGAGAGAAGTTTACCCAATTGTGCCGCAGGGGTGGTCATGGCCACATCAGGTGCTCTCGGGACATCTTTTATCACATTGATAAAAATGTGTTTAATTATTTGTCCCAGCTCATTGGAGGCTGTACAGGTGTACATTTCATTGACGTTTACTTGAGAAACACTGAGATATTTTGTGTTCTCCGTCACAGCCACCCCATCATGGATCCAGTTAAAGCGGGGAGGAGGGTTACCCTCAGCATCACAGCTCAGGGTGACATTTTCACCCTCTCTCACATAGACATTAGTGGTGTTGTCATTGAACTCAGGAGCATCTGAAGAGGAAAATGTCTCTTGAATCTTTCAAATACAGGATGTATGTAAAATAATGATAATGATAAAAAATGACAGTGTTTACTCACAGTGCACAGAGACAATGTGACTTTCAGAAACAGGAGGAGGTTTTGGCCCATTTGGCCCGAAGTCCAGCTGAGCCTCACATTGAAATACTGCTCCGTTGTCTTCCCTGCTGACCTCGACAGTCATAAGAGAAGACTCACTCACTGGTGTTTTGGTTGTGTTGAGGAAAGAATCTGTCCTGATCGTCATGTTGTCTTTGTACCACGTCACAGTCAGGTTCTGAACAGGGGCAACATCGAGGACATCACACTGCAGCACATAATGTGTCGCCACCACAGTATGATTGACAGGGAAAAGGACAACCGAGTCTGGATTCTCTGTCAAAACAAAACAAAATTAGTAACAGGAGTTATTGTTTTCTTTCTAATCCCCCCCTCACTGCATGATATTTATTTGAAATTACACTTACTGTATAAAGTAATCTCGAGGTCTTTACTGCATTCAAATGAGTCATTTATATGTATTATGCACTGAGCCGTTATGTTCCAGTCTAACAGTGGCATTGTCCAAGTGGTAAAAGAATCATGTCCCTCTGTCTCAGGCATTTCGATTCCGTTTGACCAGAACAGCCTATTATAATCATCATTTGAGCTGGTGCAGTTTACCAAGAACTCCCCTCCATGTTCTGCTATCACCTCAGAGGGAACCAGGGTGAGAGGGTTGTCTTTGGGGCATGTGGCTTCCACATCTGTGAATAGGAGAAACAGTTATGGTTTGTTTGGACTGAACATGTTGACTTTGCTGCTCTCTGCTGGCTCATGTCACTAATGCATGTCACTGTCAACTGTGTGAGGGTTCATTCACTCTAGCTTTTAGAGTGTACCTTCACTCATCCTCTGAAGTCAGCACGAGTAAGTCAAATGTCATAGATAGTAAAGCGGATATTTTCACCAAAACATTATCATATCTACAGCTTCCACTAAAATTATTCCCCCAAAAAATGTGTTTCTATCTACTTTGTTAAATAGCCAATGACTAAATACATTATAGTGTCTGATTTCCCCCAAATGATCCCAAACAGACCCTCACCAAAGAAAATACATATTTTTTATTTAGTATAATTTTTTAGATTATTTTTGTAGTCGCCATCGACGGTCAAATGTGTCGATACCAAACCCATACGCAACCAAGAAACCACCCTGTTTTTAATGTTAAACATCTAAATATGTTTTATCTATATAAATAACACTTACATTATGTATATATTATCATGTTATGCAGAGCATCACTATTACTCACCACATAGCAAAACCATGAGCATGAGGAGATGCAGCATCCGGAGAGGCAGCATGTTAGATCAGCATGTGGGAGGAAGGAGGTGGATGGAAGAAGGGAAGTACGATGGTCCAGAGGATGTCCAGCTTCAGGACCTGGACTAGATCCTTTCTGGTCCAGAGCCGGTACAGGGGATGAAGATGATGACTTGCTGCTGACAGTTATACGAGTTAGAGGAGAAAAAAAAACGAGGGAATAGAAGGGGAAGTTCAACGCCCTAGTTGACAGGAAACTGTGAAACGGAAATATAACACAACCACAGATCTATGTGCAACCTTGGTGATGTGCTCCCCTCCCCCACATTTCGTAAAATAATTCAGTGCATCTTTTTCAAAAATGTTCATACAGGCTCTAATTTGTCAGCGTTTTATTGAAAAGTTCACAGCAAATTGAAAAAACATAAAATTTTGTCAGGAAATTGCAACAACTCGATACATGGTAGTCATCATCCAATGACTCAGTCTGTTCACATGTCCCTGAAAGGCCTCTAATAAACATCTAAAGACAACTTTTATTTTACAAAAACAGTTTAATTCCCTTTGCACATGTTAAGCACAGAATCATTCAGATCAGTTATCACATTTCCTTCTCACAACCACATCACAACTATGTTACTTGGGCTTGATCATCACAGAAACTCGTTTCAGGGAGTAGGACCCTCCGTGGAACTCTGCCCAGTACACCCCATCCTGGTAGCGGCTGCGATAGTGTCCACCCCGATACCACACTCCATTCAGATTGGAGTGGGCACACATGTGGTACCACCAGCCTCCTTTCTGGTAATGGGCACAGTTACCTGATAACACAACAAAAGATCGGATGAAGTTACTAACATGAAAGGTCACTGAGAAAACAAACAGGAGGGAGAAAAGCAAACCTGTGTAGCTGTCCTTGTCTCGATCCAGAGTGGTGAAGGCCTTGTTGTTGTGCCACGAGAGGGAGTCCCCTGCATTGCCCTGGTATTGGCCCAAACGCAGTCGGTACCAGTCACTCTCCGGTTCCAGGTGGAAACTGTCATACTCGGCATACACTTGCCGGCCCTGCCAGTCCTCCAGAGCCACACGTAGCTTATAATCAGCTTGTTTGGTCAGCCAGTAGAGGTGTTCCAAGCCAAGCCAGTACTCTCCATCTAGGTTCCCAAAACCTTGCTGGAATATATTGACAAACAGTTTAATCCAGGGAAGTTATTCATTGTGTTTTACTGTTTACATGTTTGATCTATTTTTATCAAGGGTCTCAGGTCAGCAGTGTCAGTCAGTTTTTTCCACTACTTATGTCCAGACAGAACAACCACTGGATGCATTCCATTTATAGACATTCATGGTCCCTGGGTCCCTGGGTGATAATTCAGAATTATTGTGTTTTCCTCTAATACAAAAAGTTGTTAACTTGTTTTTACTTTTACAAAATCAATTGGAGGGATTGACACAAACTCATGTACATTCAAAGACCCCAGAAGATGAATCCTCCTGATTTTTGTGATTCTCTGAATCTTCTTCTTAAAATAACAATAACTTGAACTTACATAGAGCCTTTCAAGAGACGCTGTACATGTGTCAGTATAGGCACAAAAAGAAAAAAGAAAAGAATCCACACAAAACAGGGCAGAAATAAACAGTGCTTATGGCAGCGTGGAGCATCAACTGAGGCCAAGGGCCTTGGGGAACATATAGTGTTTGAGGAGTTTTTTGAAGGTGTCCAGAGAGCTCCAGAGGGTGGGTGACACAAAAGACTGTCTCTAAAGGCTTGCAGGGCATGGAGGGATTTGTAGGTGAGAAAGGTGTCTTAGTCTTGAATAGTCTTGTGATTTTCACAATGAACTGTAATCAGCTTTTCATCCGGGCAGCATCATCAGGGTCAGAATTTCAATGTCTTTATGATCAAAAACCTTCAAAACAGATGCCATTCCCATCAGCCTCAGCTGTACTTCAGTTACCATGCTAACATGCAAGGCATAAATACTGTATTTTTTTTTTTTTTTACAATTAAAAAGAATAATGGAACCACAGCTTTATTTTTAAAGGTGCACAAAATCACCTTATACTGCTCCCAAGTCCTGAAGAAGTTGACCGACCCATCCTGTCTTCTCTGGATGACCGTCCACCCCCCCTGAGCCTGACTCTGCTCACACCAAGCCTGCATCAGGCGGTTAGCGCTCTGCGGGCGGAGCAAGTATATCCCGCTGGTGGTCTCGCCAGATTCCAGCACATGCTGGCAGTCCCGCCATGGACCTGAGTCGAGAGGATAAGAATAAGATAAAGAATATGCAAATATGTGATATTATATTAAATATCATCATTTCGATTTTGACCAGTAAGTAATACTATTATGAATAGTCATTGCTTTAGGAGTCAAATAGAAACACATCTGATTTTTTTCTTTGATTCTTCCCTTAAAACATCTGAAATGAAGTCAGTGGCACTGACTATTCATTACTTTCACAAAGACTTAAACCAGTAGCTGTAAGGGCCAGTTACAGGGAGTTTTGGAATTTTGTCTGTTTTTACATCCCATCATCACTGTGCCTTCAGCTTATCTGTTCCCAGCTGAGGAATTTTTCTCCAGCTCATGTTCAATGTCTCATGTCACAGTGATAAAATGCACATGGGAATTTCCACAGAGAAAATGTATACATAGAGGAAATCCTCAAGTTATAATGCCTGAAAGTGCTTTTACTCCACACTCACATAAGTGAGATGTGGCAACGCACATCGTCTTTCATCAGACTTTTTGGGAGACGTTGAGTCACACACTTCATCTCTGCTGACTTGTCAGAGGGACGGCTAAAATCCTCTACTTCGTCATTTCAAACATTTCAGTTGTGCAAGTTTACATTAGGAGTGTCGTCTAAAGCTCCAACAAATGCTGTGCTCCATGTGTGTTCTTATTATAAAGCCCCCTCTGCTCTGATAAGAGCTGTTTTTGACATTGTTTAGCATTCCCAGTGAGATAGGGCTCCTACCAGCAGGTCCATGACCCCATCAGCCTTGCTGCTTATCTGAGCAGTTAAATAACTCTGACAGAAGATTGGTGCACTTATACACACAGGTTGGAGTCTCATAAAGCACTTCTGCTAAAAGACACGTTTGACTTGTGTGTACCTGGAGTCTTTGTGACAGGGAAACTAATGAAAGGGGGGTCTGTAGGAGTGTTGGCTGTGGTGCTGGGGACGGAATGAACCCGCTCCATTTTTTCCTGCTGTGGCGGAGGAGCACTTTGGTCCCTTTGAACATCATTGGTCATTCCGTTGGCTTCGGAGCTGTAATTAGGATGCACGTTAGACGGGATTTTTGGTGGTTCAGTCATCACCTGGTCAGACCAACACAAAAACAACACAGCGATCTCATTTCCTGTGTACAAATCCAGCTCAAATTTGCAACATGCCGACCACAGATGGTTTCCTACCACAGACGGCTGGTGGGTGGAGTCCCTGCACTGGCACTGCTTTTCCAGACGAGCAATAAACTGGTTCTGGGAGCTCAACATGGAGGTGAGGGCTCCATATTTCTTCTCCAGCTCCCTGTAATTGCTGGACACCTGCAGGGCCTGAGATGTCCCAACACCCAGAACAGACACAGGATGAGTTTGACCATGTAGCTTTGCTGTGATGTGAATCAAGGAGCAACAAGGACTGCAGTGCTCTGCTCACCTGTGTTGTGGCATTGAGCAGCAGGTTCTCCACCCTTCGCTGCTCCAAAGCTTGGTCCTTTTTGTTGATTACTTCATTCAGCAGCTGGGCGTAGAGCTGAGTGATGCGTGAATTCATGCTGTTACTCTCTTTGCGCAGGGCTCTTACCTCCATGGCAAGGGTCCCCTCCTGGTCCAGTTGGCCCCTGAATTTCTCCAGCTGTTCCTGCTGTCGCCTGAGCTCTGCCCGCAATGCAGCCACGTCAGACTGGTTGGCAGCAGCAGACTTTGTGGTCAAACACAGCGCCCCGGTCATTTTTTGCTGGGGGACAATGAAGGTGTAGGAGCAACGGCCTCCGTTTGTATCTGAGGACCGTGATGAACGTTTCTGAGTGTTATTTCCATTGGCCCCCTCCCTCCGTCCAACAGCTTCTGGTATGTCCACGCAGAGTGTTAGAAAAAGAGTCAGGCCTATCGTCAGTGTCTTCTCCATGAATGTGTTTGTCTTCTGATGACTCCTTGGAAGTGGAGGAGAGGACAAAATAAGAATCACCACAGAAGTGACAGCACATAAATATCACCTCATAATGTTTGATTGAGCCTTAATCATTCTGACACCATGACAAAAAAGACCTGGACTTTGTCTTCCAGTAAACCTGGCATTGCGGTTCCTCAGTGTTTACCAGATGTTTCCTCACAAAGTCAAAGTGCACACATTTCCCCCCTGGCTGGAATTTATTAGCAGGTCAACACTGATGGGTGAACAGTCAACACAAACCAGCCAGAATCAACACACCTCCATCTCTCAGTCAACAGACGGCTCGGCTCTACATCCAACCACAACAACCACGGTCAACATCATAAACACATGAATCAAAATATCAATAGTGACATCTTACACAAGCATCTTCTCTATGATTTCATCAACAACAATTCAGAAATCTGAAACAAAGGGGATTTTATTTTCAAGTAGATAAATAACCATAAATAGTATAATGATCTGACCTCAATGCCATTGCAAATACACATTAATCTATCTTAAAGTAGACTGCATTAGAAAAACACCATTCATTACTTACTGGGGCAGCTGGGAAGTATTTCTGAGAAGTCTTTGCTCTGTTCCAGTAGGAAAAAACTTCAAGCACCCACTGATGTAAAATTAAGGCAAACACATTTTAGAAATCACATCTTTGAGAGCCCCATAAATGAGCTGCTTCTTCCGAATAAAAAGACATCAGTGGTCCTCTTTAATGTTAAAGTGAAGCAGATGCAGATAATTTTTTAAGAGAGAAAAACTAGAGTAACACCTAAGTTTTGTCAGTGGTCAGACCTGTTCCTCTTCCCTGGGGATTCTGTCCCAGGATCTCTGAAGGAGGAGACAACTAATTACAAACTGTCCAAATGGCACCTCCTCCCATTGCTGGTTGTTCAGCTGGGTGTTCAGTGCAGGAGTCTCCTCCTCCCTCTGCCATCATCAACTTGCTGCCCTGACACAAACTCTATAGACCTCAACTGCACCAACACAGTGTGGTTTCCGCTTTTACTTCATTGTTGAAACATCTTTGGTTTTGGCGCATTGGCTTTGTCTTCTTGTGTGCAGATAACATGTTGTCTCTGTGAAAAGTTGGGACAAAAAACACAGTATAATTGCAAACATTATTACATCAGCCTTACATACATTGGAACTAATATTCTGCAGGGTCCTCTTCACTATTTACAGCTTTATCTTCTATCTGACTAAAGAATTTGTGAAAGAAGGCATCATAGTTTTTATTTAACTACAAGTAGCGATATCACTGCAAAAATAGGCAAAGTACTGCATTAAAAACCTAATAAATCAAAAGTATAAAACTATATCATCAAGTATTTTTAGAGTTTTGTATTATAAAAGATACAATATTTTCATGTCACAGCTGAAATGTGTACTGCTTGGTACTTTAATCCATGTACATTTTTTATTTTTTAACATGCACATTTGCAAAGTAACTTCAAAGTGTTAAAGTCAAATAAAGAGGGTGGAGTCTTTCTGCCTGATGTGAAACTATAGTGATTCAGCTATTTTTTTAAAAACATGTATACCCAAACTGCGTGTGGGTTTCTTTGCTGGTGAAGCACTTCTCCTATAATGTTCTGCTATATATATATATATATATATATATATATATATATATATATATATATATATACATATTATGAATACACATATTACATACATATTATGGCATGCCATTATATATATATATACTGGCTGGTAATGGTATTTGGGGATATATGATACCTTAGAGCAGCGGTCCCCAACCTTTTTTAAACTGAGAGCTACTTCATGGGTACTGAGTCATACGAAGGGCTACCAGTTTGATACACTCTTCTGAACTAACAAATTTGCCTATAGTTATATATTATCATTAATGATAAATGATACTCATCTATGTGAAGACACTGATCACATCAGTCTGCTTCGGGTTTGTCTTAGCTGAATTGTTGGTAAAGTATTTTTGCCTTTCTGGATGCTAGTTGGACATGAGAGTCTGCTTTGAATTACGTGTGTTTGCTGGTTTCTGCTGGTCACATTTACGAACTGCAACAATACTGCAAGAGCTGTATAAATCAGATTTAGTCAAATGTGTGACATAAATAAAGAACGAATCCTTTGTATGTTCTCACACACAAATTAATGCCTACCACCAGTTGATGTAAGTGACCAGCGGGTGATGTTAGGGACATGCCTTCAGTGAATGAATCACTGAAAGAAGAAGACATCATTCAGTGGACACAGTCTCTGTTCTTGTGAAGACACCTAGTCAATGGATAAAAGGGCCTCCGAGACCGTGGCTTGCCGGAAGGGGGCGTGCTAGGCCGCGGCACTATGATTGTGACTTCCTATATATCCGGTTCAGCTCGGAACAGGGAACCAGACACGAGAGAAACACGGACATATATAGTGTGACACACAGTGGTGCAGCCATGTGCCACACGTCGTGTTGAGTCCACAGTTGAACATTTGTCCACAGGTGTTTGCTGTCATTATGATCGTGGTTTGTTTTTGTAGTACAAATATACTGTATCGCATTTAGTGTCATTTTGCGCCACGTGTCGCTGAATTATGGGGAAATCAAAGGTAAGTAACGGCCTATGCTAACAGGTTAGCATTAGCTGATTATACTAAAGAGACTTAAAGAACTGTCCTTGAGTGAAAAGTGTAGCTTGTGTTAAATGAGGAAATCATATTATAGCTGTGATGGTTGGTGGATGTGTGATAACGTTAGCATAGTTGGTTGACATCCGCATTAGCCACATTTGGTTAGCCAAGTCAACGTGCGTTTAAATCGCGTTGTCCTCAGACTCTTACTTTCAAATCATTCCAGTGTTATCGAAATGTTCTACGCTCACGTCGTGTATTCGTGTGTGTTTTTTGTCAGACCAAGAACCAGAAGAAATCCCGAGTAGCCGCGAACCATGTGGCCGAGCACACGTACGGAGCTGTACCCCACTCCTTCGTCTTTCATCGGGGTCAGATCGGGAAAAACGTGGGTCAGCTCATCCTGGACGTGCGGAGAGTCCTGGAGCCCTACACCGCCGAGTCTCTGAAGGTCCGGAACCAGCTGGCTCCTCAATATGACTGACCACATTGCACCATCCATATTTTCTACATGTTTCTGTTATCCTTACTTGTCATTACTTTCTGATGCCTATTTGTGACTCTTGCTGCTGTAATATTCCAAATTTCCCATTATTGGACTAATGAAGGATTATCCTAGTTTAGCTGCAGGAAGAGCCCACAGTGCTGATTTATTTAAACACTATTTTAAATTTGTATGCTTTTCCTGAGAAAGTGTAAAATCAGTTCGTTAATATCAGGTTATACCAGTTTCATTGCCTGATCGTATTGTTTTTGTCACCAGGTTAGGAAAAAGAATGTGCTGAAAGATTTCGTGGCCATCGCAGGACCCCTGGGAGTGACACACTTCATGATCTTTAACAAGACACCCAGCAGTATCAACATGGTGAGATTAAATAATACTTTAGGACTTTGATTGTATTTTTCCTTTTCAAGTCATAATGTATCTAACAAAGTATTTCTCGTCCTGTCAGAGACTTGCTCGACTTCCCAAAGGTCCTACCCTTCATTTTAGAGTGCTCAAGGTAAAGACCGCTTGAAATCATCATTAAGAATTGAGACATGGGCCCAGATGATGAAGATTTAATATTTTGACTGTCAAGTGATGTTTTTCAAAGTAAACGCACTGATGTGCCCAAACTGACCACTATTTTGAACCATTTCTTCCCCCCCCCCATTTTTAAAAACTCTCAAACTTATTTTTCTTTCAGTACTCTCTCATCAAAGATGTGGTTTCAACTCTGAAGAAGCACCGGATGCACGAGCAGCAGTTCTCACATCATCCACTACTCATCCTCAATAACTTTGGAACTGACGGCATGCACATTAAACTCATGGCCACCATGTTCCAAAATATGTTTCCATCCATTAATGTGCACAAGGTACGTTTTGCCAACTGAACCGTTGCCTTAGAGACAGTTAGACCTAGAGGTTTAAAGCCTTGTTGGCATGATGAAAGTATAGTCTTCTGATTTCACCTGACGAATTGTCAAAAGTAAACGCTTTCTGACGTTTAAGGCACAAATGATTCTTTGCTTTCAAAGTTGAAGTCTGAATTCATGTGATAACTGCGGGGTTTTTTTTTCCAGGTCAGCCTCAACAACATCAAGAGGTGTGTGTTGCTGAATTACAACACAGAGTCTCAGCAAATAGAGTTTCGACATTAGTAAGTAAAACTGTTTTGTTATTCATACTAAGATGGACGTCATTGTTTTCTCAGTTCACAGTTGCACTGTTTTGGTTCTGGCAGCTCTGATGACAGAGATGTAACACTGGCCATTAAACCAATTTAGTCTGGATAATTAGAATTATGTCACAGTATTTCATTTTTTAAAGGAAAAACAAAAAAAGATTGATTCAATATTACTTTTCATGTATCAAATCTTGAAGTGACGCTTGGGCTCAGATGATGACAAATCAGGACTTGACTGTTCAGTGATGTGTGTTCAAAGTAAACGCACTGATGGGGCCTTGTCACATTAACTGTATTTATTGCCATTTATTGATTCGATTTCAAAGTGACTGAATATGATCTTGTTGCCACCCTGCAGCAGCCTGAAGGTTGTCCCCGTCGGCATGAGCCGCGGAGTCAAGAAGCTGATGCAGGAGAGGTTTCCCAACATGAACAAGTTCGAGGACATTAGTGAGCTGCTGATGAAGTAAGGTTCTACTGAAGGTTTAACTCGTGCACTCCTCCTGAGGCCACAGGGAACTACGCCCCCTCTGCAGCTGTATTATCTGCAGAATTGTTGACATGGAGTTGTGTCTTTTGTGCTTTTCTCTCAGGGGGGCGAACCTTTCAGAAAGTGAAGCAGAACAGGACGGGGAGCACAACATCACCGAGTTGCCGCAGGTGTACTCTGGAAGAGGCAACATGCCATCCCAACAGAGTGCTGTCCGTTTGACGGAGGCGAGTATGCAGAGGGAGTTTGTTTAACAACAATGTTCAGATGCTGCTGGGATGTAAGCTGAATTTTGTGTTTCATTTTTCCACAGATTGGTCCTCGCATGACTCTGCAGCTGACGAAGATCCAAGAAGGCATGGGAGAAGGGAATGTCCTCTATCATACCATGAGTGAGTCCTTTTGCATTCAGTCATCTCTCTGCTTGCTGTTCAGGTGTACATGATGAAAGAAACACAATATGAATTTCATGATTTCTCTCTAAAAGTAAACGCTTACTGATACATCTGCAGCTTACTTAGTGTGATCTACACCCAGCAAACTGTTCCTCACCAGAGATTTTGTTTTGAACTATGTTTTTTACAGTCTCCAAGACAGAGGAGGAAATACAGGAGATCCTGAACAGGAAGGAGGCCCAGTTAAAGGAGAAGGCGGATCGGAGGAAAAAGCAGGCGCAGAATGTTGCTCAGAAAAAAGAGAAACGAGAAGAGCACAAGTAAGTTGACCTTGAAGATTATTTAAATCTTCTGCCTTCGATTTATTTTACATTTGGCCTAATGTTAGTTTTTTTTTTTTCCATCCTCAACAGGAAGAAGAGCCTGGAGGGCATTAAGCGCAAACGCGATGAGGAAGAAGATGACAGTGAGGTGGAGGATCCTGGGATGCAGGATGGTCAGGTAGCTGCTCCTGAATCAGATGATGAGGTGGAGTACTACAGACAGGCTGTCGGAGAAGAGCCAGATGAAGGTGAATAATGTTGGACTATAAAATGTTGGCGCTTTATTCCTTTATTTGTTATTATTAAGTTATTGACCAAGATTTCCTTTTTCTTTTTGCAGACATGTTCCCAAGTATCAAGAAGAGGCGGAGCTCAGAAACGTCCTATGGACCTGCCAGGAAGAGGACGCCTTTTGCTGGTAAATCAGGGAGAAATGATGGAAAATCTAAATCACCAAGGAGAGGTGGTCCAGGAGGAGCGCAAAGAGACAAAACAGGAAAAGGTTTTAAGAAATCCGGGGACAGGGAGAAACCATTTGGAAACAAAATGAAGCCTGGAGGAAAGGCATTCGGAGCTAAGAAATTTGGTGACAGAGAAAATAAATTTGGTGGAAAGAAGAAATTTGAAGGAAACAAAACGTTTGGAAAGAAAAGCAAGGACCAATCATTTAAATCTAAAGGTCAGAAAAGCAAAGCTGGCTTCAAGAAGAAAGGTATGGGAGCGAAGCAAGGATTCAAACAGAGGAAGGGAAAAGGTTGAGCCCAACCTTCTTCCGTGACTGGGACATTGAATGTGTTATGACTTTGAAGCACCAGGTGGCAGCAAGTATCCATTTTGCCATCAGTGCCTCAGCCTGTGACCATATGTGATGGTTGTTTTCAGACTGTTTACTGCTGAACATCAGCAGGGGGACATGAGTAAAGATGAAAGTTGTATATTTTCACACTGTATGAAAAAATATTGAAAATGTACTTGTTCAATAAATTGTTTAAAATATATCTTTCTAGCTTGGTGGATGAAATAAACACGGCAAAATGCAAATTACACATAAAGTTGTATCATAGTAAGACAAAGCATTAATAAGACTAGTGATGGGACTAACAATGAAACTAGTAATATAGAGTAATATTGATTGTGAGTGTGCTGAGCAGGCTCTTGGGAGCAGTAGAGGGCCGGCAGTCACATATATTGAGACTGCATCTCTGAGGGCAGAGAGATTGGTAAAGCACAAAGCATGATGGGATAGACACTGAGTTAGTATCATGCACCAATGGGATATGAAAAGGAGAGGAACGTCATCAGTGTTGGACCAAGAGCCCAAAAACCTTGGGATGGTCAGACACAAACCTGAGCCAGCTCTTAAAACAATCAAACTTTCTCAGTCTAAAAGTGAGAGTAGAGACAAAGGTGAAAGAGGTTCAAATCAGTGACAGGGTTTCGGTATTAAAGAATGATTTTTTTTATTTTTTATGCTTTGATAAAGTGCTGATATTCAGTAGAAATAATGTTAAACGACAGGTTATGAATTACTGAAGCACTTTTCTCTGAATTTAATGATGCAGTGATCGACAGAAATTCAGAAAAGTAGGTCTAAACTGTGATTAATACACTGCTCCAAAAAATTAAGGGAACACCTCAATCACACATCAGATCTTGATGAATGAATTATTCATTTACTGATTTCCAGTCTATAATTTGTTGAGAACAAAATCTAACAAAGTTCAACAGCAACCAAAATCATTAACCCATTGAGGGCTGGGTTCAAAATCATACCGAAAATCAAAGGAAAAGTCCAACTTGCGTGACTTATCAAAGCCACTCATAATCTTACTCAGTACTGTGTATGGCCCCATGTACCTGTATGCACAGCCGACAACATCTGGGCATGTGCCTGATGAGTTGGCGGATGGTGTCCTGTGGGATCTCCTCCCAGACCTGGATCAAGGCATCAGTGAGCTCCTGCAGTCCTTGGCGGTACTTGGTGGCCTCGGATGCACCGATTCATAATGTCCCAAAGGTGCTCAATTGGATTTAGGTCAGGGGATCTGTCAATCTCTGAGGATTTCTTCGTGGTACCTAACAGCAGTCAAGCTGACTATGACATGGAAGTCTATGTGACCCTCCATGGATATGTCTCCCCAGACCATCACTGACCCACCGCCAAACTGGTCGTGCTGGATGATCACCACAGCTTCTCCAGACTCTTTCACACTTGTCACATGTGCTCAGCCTGAACCGGCTCTCACCTGCCAATTCTGGTGTTCTCTGGCAAAGGCCAATCGAGCTGCGCGGTGCTGGGCTGTGAGCACAGGTCGTCGGGCCCTCATGCAACCCTCATGGAGTGTGTTTCTGACAGTCTGGTAAAAAACATGCACACATGTAACCTGCTGGAGTTCATTTTGCAGGGCTCTGGACAGACTAATATCCCTGAAATGTAACTGGCTTGGTGTTATACTGTGATGATTAACTGTTCATTTTTTTGGAGCAGTGTATAACCTAACTTCATTACTTATATTGTAGAGCAAAGTGTAGAATTTTGAATATACAATATGACAATGTGCTGTATTTACTGAACAATCACATCCTCAAGTTATGTGTCATCCTTATTTCTTTTCACAACAAGAAAATATGATTTCCTGAAATTTCTGCAACAAGTTTGAGAAGTTAGAAAGATCAGACGCATCAAGAAAGAGTTATAGAGGACACAGCTCAAGTCAGAGGCTGTGTGAGTGGGACCGGTAATTCACGGATCTTGATTAAAAGAATCTGGCACATTTAGGGGATTGACGAGTTTCAAACTGTGATAGATCATTTGTTTTTCTCTTGCTTGACTCAAAACTGCATAAAATCTAAGTGATTTTATGTTTCAAAGTGAAGAAATGGGTTATAAGCTTGTAGATGTTTGTATTTTGATAGTTCATATTGTATGCATTAACTAGAATGGACTAGTAGAGCAGTCCCTATACATTCAATCAAGCTGCACCAAATTACACACACTCATAGATATTACTTTTTTCATCAAGGTCAATTAATTCTTTCCTAGAAAATCTGTGAAAATATTGGAGAACGCCTTATCTTGCAATGTTAAAGAAAGTGATAAACAATTCCTGAGTCTACTCCCTGATCTGGATTCACACCAAAATTTATTGAGCTCTTCCCTGACCCGTAACACATAATTCAAACTTCTTCTTGGCATAGGTAATCATGAAGAAGTGTAGGTTTGAGATGTTTGTGTAAATATGGATTACAACAAGCAGCCATGACGATAGCAGCTGTTTTCCAATTGTGTTTCAGTTGAAGTCAAGACGCTCGCTCTGAAATGTCACACGTCTGATTGCTGTTGCAACACTGTGCAGATAAAACCTGTAACGCATTTAAACCCTCAACACTTGTCATCTGTCTCATGACCCTCACCACAACTGTCTGCTATTTATCACCAGTGGGTTTTCAAATGCATGGGTGTCCTCACAGTTTTGCTTCTTCAAATTGCGAAACTCTTGCAGAGGATAAGAGGAACTTTTAGATTCATATACAGAGCTCCAGCCTCTCACTCACATTTCTCCGCTCAGGTCAGCGTGTTGAGGTTTTGTCTCATTTTCTTACTTCAGAAATTAACACTCTGGGTTTCTCTGCCACGGCACACTGCGCTGCAAAATCTGCCTTTCAGTAAGTAGAAGTTGACATTTTAATTTGGGATTTTATAATTGATAAATCATGTTTCTTTATAAGAATGTAACATTTAACCAACAGTTAATATCATTCCAGATTATTATGTTTAAAAATGTTTTCTAACTTCCCATAAGGAAACATATGAATCAGATATGAGCTATTATTAAACATGTGTCAAATACCTCCATTTCTAGATATATGACAACTAAATAAACTTCAGCCGAAAGCAAGATGGTGCACAATTTCTCAGACTGTGAGAAGTTTCAAATGGCCCTGCTGCCCTCAGTCTACGGGGTTGAGTTCATTGTGGCCCTGATAGGAAACCTCTTTGCCTTGTGGCTGCTGGTGGTCAGAGAAAGAAGGAACTGGCACACCGGCGTTGTCTTGTCCTGTAATCTGGCCATCAGTGACCTGCTCTACATCCTCACCCTGCCTCTGCTGATTGTCTACTACTCACTGGGGAAACACTGGATTTTTGGGGACGCTGCATGTAAGATTGAGAGGTTCCTCTTCACCTGCAACCTCTATGTGAGCATTTTCTTTGTCATGGCGATAGGTGTGAACCGGTGTGTTGCCCTCATGTTTCCATTCTTCACCCGTTCCTATGTGCGGCCTGCCCACGCCAAAGTCGTCAGTGTCGTCATCTGGCTTGTCGTAGGAGTCATTTCCTGCCCTGTGTGGAAATTTGCCACCATTTGCCGAAATGTGCACACCAACAAGACTCTGTGTGTGTCCTTCTGTTCCCACAATCCTGCAGATGAAATCCCTCACTTCACTTACAAAGTGTTTCTGGCTGTGTTTGGGTGCCTTGTTCCCTTTATGGTGACTTTCACTTCTTACTGTATGGTGATTTGGGTTGTGTGGAAAAATGTCAGTATAACAACACTGGAGAAACGCAAGGTTGCTCTGTTGGTCGGATCGGTGGTTGTGCTGTATGCTGTTTCCTTTTTGCCATACCACATCTTTCAGACCTACCACCTGTATCTCAAAATCAAGGATCCTACCAACTCTGTGTGCTGGGTCTACAACATGTACCAAGTGTCAAAGGGCCTGGCAGTTCTGAACATGTGTCTGCACCCAGTCCTTTACATGGCTTTGTTTGACAGTATGAGAGAAGCGTGTTGTGGGAAGAGCTCAGTGGAAAACTAAGCTGCTGTCTGATGACTTTTCTGTGATGCACAGCCTCATTTTTTTTTTAAATATAGAGACTTTTACACAGGAATTATTTCCACAGGATATCTCACTTTGAAGACTTTACTTCTTAGCCAAATTATTTTTTCTGCATTATCAACTTTGACACATAACCATCTGTAATAAACATCTTTGTTGCTGTAATGTGCCTCATTTCAGTTTCAAACATATTTGATTATCATTTTCCTCATGCACTTCCTTTATTTTTATTAAATAAAGAGGCCAAAAATTTGTGGCAGGTATTTGGCCATGAACAAAAAACACAAAATAAAAAAAGTCTGCAGACAAAATTTAGTCTTGTGCAATTTTCCCTGAATAGTGAAGTGTGGCATTAAGCCAACATAATCTTTCTCAGTAAGGTTTTTCAGAAGTTGAAAAAAAAAAATTCTTCCCCATAAAAGTAACAACTGTTTTGCATTGTTTTTTATGATGGTAAAATCAACATGTTTCATTTGTTGGTCAGACCAATAATTAATCAATCAAGAAAGGTCAGATGTATTGATAATGGTGTTTGCAGCAATGTGGTAAAACACACCATTAAAATAAATGAATTCAAAGTAAACCTCAATGATCAACACTAGATTTGGAGACAGATGCTCTTTGCAAGACTGGAGTCATGAGGATAGAGGATCAATATCACACAATATAATTTCAATGTCATTCAGTTGTACTATAGCCGTGCAAATTAAATACATAATGCATCCAACTTTTTCAGAGCAGCCCTTTTGACACTAACTAATTAACGAATCACTAAATACCATACCAAGTACTTCCAAAATGGCTGCTGTGAAAAAGGATCTATTAATCAAATCATGCAGACCACAATAATGTCAGGATTTGCCTGCATGGTTTGGTGATCCATCTTTAATCTCATGTTCAACATTGAAACTCTCTGCTGATGATGATTGTTTCATCAGCATATAAAACTAATATAATAAAACGAGGTTTGAAAACAAGGGCGACATAATGCACGGCTCTTATTGTGAAGCCGAAAGTTAAACAGAAATACTACTTTTATTGCGAAGTTAAAGTACCGGAAACGCGTAGTGGCGGATCCGCTCGCTTCCTGCGCTCCTTCCGGTCCTGAAGCTAAGCTAGCTGAGACGATGCCGTCGATTGAATACGACGAGTGAGTGTTACCAGAAACGTTTAAATAATATCTGCTGCCACCGGATGTTTTTATCCACCGATCTAAATGTTCATGTCACCCTCTCTCCCTCAGCTCCAAGCCCAGCTGGGCGGACCAAGTCGAGGAGGAAGGAGACGAAGGTAACGCGCTAGTTAGCTTTGTTAGCTTTTATTAGCACATCTTACAATCTGGAGCCCAGAGGAGGAGGCCGGCGAGGCGGCTTCGACTTCCACGTGGTTGCCGGACATTAAACTCCAGCTTACATACACCCATCATCGGATGTGTTCATGCCCAACTTTAAACATAACTTAGCCTGACTGACATTAACCGACGATTCTTCGATCTAACGGGTGATCGCCCAGTGGACGGTGACGCAGGCTGTCAATCAGTCACACGACAACTTGGAGTTAGCGAGCCCAGCGCTAGCATGCTATCTATATTCCTGGCTTTCTGTGTTAGATTTAAACTGAATATGTAACTGAGGTTGCAGTTGGAAATTCAAATATATCTTTCTTCACACTGATCCATTTCAGAACTATGCTGTGGAGATAACAAGCTATCAAGCATACACAAGTTAGGGACGGCATAAAGTCATTTTATACTCTAGTTTTCAGACTTGAGTCCTGATAAACATTTCCCCACTGTCATATTTGGTGCAACATCACCTGTGTATGTTCATTGTAAATCAGATCAACACAAAGGGAAGAGATCAGGAGAGACATCGTCTTTGCCTAACACTGAAATTAACCAGATGTTGCTTTCACAGGCACACTACCATCTCCAAAGGAAACCATCAAAGGAAACATCAAAACTATCACCGAGTATAAAATAGATGAGGATGATGGAAAGAAGTACAAGGTAAATGTGACTCATTTGTTAATGTTAATCAGTTAGTTTTTATAGGACAACGTTTAATGTTTGCAGCAACAGCAAAGTAAATAGTTTTATGGTGCATATACTTGTGCTATAAGATCAAGATTATGTTACAGGTATATTTATTAGCTTATCTTTCACATATCAGTATCCTAGTTGTCAACATAATGGTGTTTGTATTGTTGATTTACATTCTAATTTTACAATGTTATGTTATATGACTTGGAAAAGCAGCAGATTTAATCACTCGTTGGTTTTATATCACAGGTTTTTTGCCACTCTTGGAAGTAAAGTTTATTTTCTAGCTGTAAAAATAAATGTTAATGGTCATAGCACTTTCTCTCATTAGAGTTTGGACAAACTATGCATCATCACATTTGGGTTAATTGGCTCATGAGGGCCATTTGTATTTATATACATTATAAAAACACTGAAATATGTATTTTCTGTCCTTATCTTTAAGATTGTGCGGACTTTCAAGATTGAGAATAGAAAAGCCTCAAAAGCTGTGGCCCGGAGAAAGGTTAGTTTCCAAACTGATTGTATTTGAAGCTGAATTTACTTAAAAGTAAACGTGACTCTGGCTGAAGTCAGTTGCTGATGCATTCGGTTGTTCTCTCATTTCAGAACTGGAAGAAATTCGGTAACTCTGAGTATGATGCACCTGGTCCTAATGTTGCCACCACCACAGTCAGTGACGATGTCTTCATGACGTTCATCTCCAGCAAGGAGGTAAGCCGGCAATGTTGGCGACTGACTTTTGTGCTGCTGCTGCTTACTGACGTGTCACATTTCTTAAAATGCCAACAAACAGGTAGTTTCATTTGTAATTCACTGTGACTGAGTACAGTATCTTGAAACTTGCAGGATTTGAACGCCCAAGACCAAGATGAGGATCCCATGAACAAACTGAAGGGACAGAAGATTGTGTCTTGCCGAATTTGTAAAGGTGACCATTGGACCACCCGCTGTCCGTACAAGGACACCCTGGGCCCCATGCAGAAGGAGTTGGCTGAACAGCTTGGACTTTCCACCGGAGACAAGGACAAGCCTGCTGGATCTGGTACATCACCTTTCCTTTTTGAAAAATAGGACTTGTTTTTTGTGCAGTCAAGACTCTGTGGCAGTTTTTTCTTAAATTTGACATGATTGTGGTCTGTTTTCCCTGTGTAACCAACAGAACCAGAGCCTGCACAACCTGCTCAGAGTAAGACCGGCAAGTATGTCCCTCCTAGCCTGAGGGATGGAGGCACGCGAAGAGGGGAGTCTATGCAGCCTAACCGTAGAGGTGGGTGGTTTTTTTGGTTGTGCATGTTGGATCCATGAACCCACTCTATACTTAAACATTATACAGCAGCAAGACTTATTGCTCAGAGTAAACAACTGTGTATTGCCTGACAGCTGATGACAATGCCACCATCCGTGTGACCAATTTGTCTGAGGACACCCGCGAGACGGACTTGCAGGAGCTTTTCAGACCGTTTGGCTCCATCTCGAGGATTTATCTGGCCAAGGACAAGAATACTGGACAGTCGAAGGTCAGTGTCCATGTTAAGAATACAAAGATGTGCACATTGAATGTTAAAAGGAAAAGGACACCAAGAACAGAAGAGTTGTTATATTAGATAATACTAATTGGTAATTAAAAGAAACGTGGTCCAGCTCTCTGATGCATGAACTGCTTTGCTTCCTGCAGGGCTTTGCCTTTATCAGTTTCCATCGTCGGGAGGATGCATCCAGAGCTATTTCAGGAGTGTCAGGATTTGGATATGATCATCTTATTCTCAATGTTGAATGGGCCAAGTAAGTTAATTTTCAGTTTTGTCAAGTAATCGTAAGTTTGTTATTTATTCTTGCTGCTAACGTTATTTATCTCTTTGCAGGCCATCAAACAACTAAGGAATCTGGCAGAATATATTCCGAGATGATGCCAGATTTGATTGTTGTGGTAAAATATGGCTGTTACCAAAAGAAAATAAAGAGTTATTGTGGTCACAATTTCTTGATTATTCTTTTACTCAGACTAAAACCCTCAGTTCTTACAGTTAAAGGTAAGCCAGAACCATATCAGAAGTACAGATGTAAGTGGAAGATGAGCTTTTAAATTCCCATCAAACCACTTATGTGCTAGTTTTATTTTGTGCTGGGCATACAGTAACTATTTTGTCCACTATGCTATTTAGCATTATCATTTTTCTGAATACCAGTAATTACATAATTTCTGAAATCCAGTAATTACATAATTAAGCAGCTGTGGTTGATGCTTGACTTCAGCGGCCTAAAATACTAAACCACTAAATATCCCTTGTAGAGATTGCAAGGTTTTGACAAATCTCACTGGTCTCACAGTACAGTGTAATTAAAAAGGTCTTTCCACAGAAAAAAAAGTTTGAAAACCCCTGATTTAATCCAAGGAAGGAAGTGTATAATAGATGTATCATATTCAGATTCTCTAAGATTTCATTTTATGAAATTTCACAGGGTACACGGTTTTCTGACAAGTCATGAGTCCGATAAACAACAATCAGGGCCTATATGGACGACAGCATCATACACCAGATGGTTGCTAGGGAAACCTGAATAAATCACATGGGCTAGAATGAGGATTAATCAATAAAAATCAGAGATCAGACCATAGGTTCTACATTAATGGAGAACCAATTTCAACAGTTCCTGAGGAACCTATGAAAAGCCTTGGATGATACAAGCAGGTCCAGCAGCTGAAGCAAGATGTCAGCAGTGGCCTTAACATCCACAAGTCCATGCTTCCTGGCTTGCTAAAGCGCTGGTGCTAACAGTTTGGCCTGTTACCGACTGATGTGAGAAAGTAGTCCAGAGTCCCAAGATGTCTGAGCATCATCGGTCTGTATGGACACAGCCTAATCGAGCATCTTGTTCTGTGGGAGTTTACATGCATCAGAACAAGGCTTGAGATTACCCTCAGTGTCCGGAGACAAGTCCATACGGGGTGTTGGACATCACTGACAACAGGACTGACATGGACACCAAAAGCAGTACTCCAGCACATTAATGACGGCCACGTTCATGTCAGAAAGTTTT